TCTGACCCCTCCGGCGCCTGCCGCTGCAAGCCCTCGGTGACCGGCTGGAAGTGTGACCGCTGCCTTCCCGGGTTCCACTCGCTCAGCCAGGGCGGCTGCAGGTGAGGGCTGCGGGAGCCCGGATCCTCAGGCTGCAGGAGGAGAGGAGCCTGTACCCAGGGAGGCCGAGCCCCGGGGGATGGGGGGAGGCAGGGGCCCCGTGCTGCAACGCCAGCCCATCTTGGGGTGGAGGGCGGCTCTGGACGTGGAGGGGCCGGAAGGACAGGCGTACGTCTTTATTATTTGAAAAGCAGAGGAAGGGTGTTGGCTGGGCCTGAGGAGGAGGAGCCTCAGGTTCCTAGCAAAATACTAGGTGGCTCTGGCCATAAAACTGCCCCTGACATGGGGACCCAGCCGTTTCCCCAGGTCCTGGCCTCTAGACCTCTGCACTTGCTGGCCATGTGCCCCAGAGCCTCTCCTTCCCTTCCTCACCTGCCCCAGCCGGTGTCTGGCACACGCCTGCTCATTCGCCGGTTCCCAGCCGAGGCTCCGCTCCCTCAGGAAGCCTCCTCTCCCGCTTCCCCCTGCTTCCGCCCCCAGGCTGGCCAGGCACTTCTCGGCCATCTCCTCCTACTGCATCGTCACGGTGCAGCGTCTGCCCGTCTGTCCTCACTGGACAGTGGGATCTGTGAGGGCAGGAGCCAGGGCGCGTCGGATGAGTGGGAGATGGGTGGAAAGATGCGTGGTGCGTGGGTGGGAGGAGGACAGGGGCAGAAGAGAGGAAGGGCGAGCGAGTGGGCGGCAGCCGGAAGCCTGCCCGACGCAGGCTGCGTGGGTGATGGGAGGTGAAGCGGATGACTGGCACCCAGGCTGGTGAGGGAGCGGCGGGCAGGGCAGGGGCAGGGGCACCTCCCGGAGGTGCTCGTTGGACACCTGTCCCCCATCCTGGCTCTTTGGCAGACCCTGCACCTGCAATGCTGCTGGCAGCCTGGGCAACTGTGACCCCCGCAGTGGACGCTGCCCCTGCAAAGGCAACGTGGAAGGCAGCCTGTGTGACAGGTGGGCGGGCCCTCGACAGTGAGCTGCCGGACGTGACCTTGGGGTCACTGATGAGGCACCAAGGGGGTCATTCCTCATAGGTGGGACCACCCTGTCGCCCCACACCCTCTGGAGCCCCTTGGATCTGCATCTGAGAAGCCACCCCAAGGCTTCGGAACAGGGTTTATACTTTGATCCAACACCACTGGTATTTGCTAAGCTGGAAAATGCATCTTTTTTTTTTTTTTCCAAACTCAGAATCCAGAGAAGGCCAGGTGTGGAGGCACACACCTGTGATCCCAGCCCTCTGGAGGCTGAGACAGGAAGATTGCCATAAATTCAAGGCCAGCCTGGACTATGTAGCGAGACCCTGTCTCAAAAGACAAAACAACAACAAAAGAGTCCTGACAAGAAAAAACTAAAAAGAATAGAAAGAGCTTATCTAATGCAGGTAGCAAATATATGATAAATCACAGCCCTCCCATTCCACGTCCAGGGCAGACATCACTAATGGAGTGCGGTCATCACAGCCCTCCCATTATATACCGATGGCAGACATCACTAATGGAGTACAGCAGCCTTTACTGTGAGCCCTGCTGTAACCTCGGGATCCTTCTCAGTTGCCTGCTCCAAGGAGGCCTTACCAGTTGTGCTGAGGTTGGATCCTTTGCCATCCTTGCAACCCTATCATGGTACAAATGGAGCATTTGAAACTCAGTAAGACAAAAGTACTTTCCCAAGGCCACGTGTCCTGTGAACTTCCTCTCACAAGCGTTCAGGAGGCCACTGAGTGCTGGCCGTGGTGCCAGCAGAGGCCAGTGCTTTGCCTCCTTGGCCACACACTCCCCTGCCCCGGTCTGACATCTGAAGCCTTTGCCAGGCACACCTGGCTGGTCTCGGCCTTGGCTCTCAGGCCTCGCCCCCAAGCCTCAGTTTACCCACTTGTGAAGCCGGAGATCTGGTCAGGGAGTGAGCTCATGGAGCTTACTGGGCGTAGGGGAGTCAGAGCCCTCACTGGGCCTGCTGAACATAGCCTCAGAGTATAAACCGGGAATTTGTGCTTGTAACCCGGGGCTTCCCCAGGGCGGCCTGAAAAATGCTCCTTTAAAACCAAACTCGGGCCTGGGGCTGGGGCTCCGCAGTCCAGTGCCTGCCCAGCATGCGGGAGGCCCTGGGTTCCGCCCAGAACCCACACAGGGCCTGCGGCCGTTCAGAAGGTCACGGGAGCCCCCCCAACACAGATCCCAAAGCTGGAACCGTTTGAGTAACAAAATAAATAATCGCATAACAGCCCAGAGAATAAGTAAATACAACTCTACACTGATAGGTAAATAGATGAGTGAATAAATAAATAGATGGGGTAAGGGGACAAAGCCTGCTTGCAGAATTCTAAATAACGTGGAGGGAAAGGAAAAGCAGTGTTAGAACATCGCGGTAATGACCGCTGAAGGCTGAAGTGCAGCTGAACCCTAAGTGAGAGGAGACGTTTGCATGGCCTCAGTGTCTCCTCCCATATTAGGTGTGCGGCCAGTGTCCGCTAGTTCCTCACTACCTCCCCCGGCCAGGAGGTGGCGCACAACTCCCTTGAGTGCCCCAATCCGTGACAGAGTTTAAGGGTTAGAGTTTAGTTAGCTATGGAGCTCTGGAAAAGCCCGGCGGGGGGGCGCATTAACGAGGGAGGGAAGGGTCCCTGCCCATGTCACACGGGTTTTGTGTCCCCTGGGGGGGTGACGAGAAGGACACTTCACCTCTTTCTCAAACCCACCACCCCAGGCTCACGAGAAAACATCAGAAAGACAAGCCCAAAGTGGAGTGCATTCTCAAATACGCCTGAGCTGGGCCTGCTGGCACATGCTGGCCATCCTAGCACTCTAGGAGGCTGAGGCAGGAGGATTCCCTGAGGGATTTGGTGAGAAACCTGGCTCAAAATTTAAAAATAAAAATAATCAACACCTGAGCGGCACTGTTTTTGAAAGTTCAAGGTCGAGAGAGGAGGAAAGGCTGAGAAGCTGCTCCAGATTGAAGGGGACACACAGCTAAAAAAGCACCGGGTCCTGGGCAGGATCCTGGATGGGAAGTTTGTGCAGAAATCCATTTAGACTTAGCCGCTGTTATCCAGGGCAGCAGCACCAGGGAAAGTGCAAGAGGGAGCCGCCCTACTAGCTGTACAACTCGTCTTTGTTTTGATATCTGTATGTAGGCTGAGAAGCTGCTCCAGATTGAAGGGGACACACAGCTAAAAAAGCACCGGGTCCTGGGCAGGATCCTGGATGGGAAGTTTGTGCAGAAATCCATTTAGACTTAGCCGCTGTTATCCAGGGCAGCAGCACCAGGGAAAGTGCAAGAGGGAGCCGCCCTACTAGCTGTACAACTCGTCTTTGTTTTGATATCTGTATGTAGGCACGCGCACGCGCGCACACGAAAATCCTCCTGCCTCAGCTTCCCAGGATGCTGTGGTTACAGCCGTGCACTCTCAGCCAGCTTAAAAGCGCATCAACTTCTGATTTTCCCCGGGCCCACATCAGCTTTTCAGGGATCCCCGGCCCAGCCCTTCCCGGCTGCCTCACGCAGTCCCTTGCCTGTCTCACGTCCCTCCCAGGTGTCGCCCAGGGACCTTTAATCTGCAGCCCCACAACCCAGCCGGCTGCAGCAGCTGTTTCTGCTATGGCCACTCCAAGGCGTGCGGGGCCGCTGCGGGGCTCCAGGCACACCACGTCTTCTCCAGCCTCGGCCGGGGTGAGCGGTGCGGGCTGGGCGGCCCCATCCCCACCCAGGGGCTCCTACCAGGGTGGGGGTGGCAGGCGGGGTACGGGGCACACGCCGGGCCTACGTGCGAGAGGACCAGCTCCTTGCTGCCCTAATCGCGGGGTTCCCGGCTCAGTCTGGGGCCTGCACTTCCTGAGCCCCTGCTGTGCGCCAGGCACGGTGCTGAGCTGAGTGCCCGGCAGGTTTCACAGATGCGTGCCTGTTCCTGGGCCTCCGCTTCTGTGCTCTCTCACTCTGCAGCCTTCTGGCCGACTCCGGGGTCACCGCCGCATCTTTGGTCTCTGCATCAAATCAGAGCCTGTGTGGACCCCAGGGAGGGGCCAGGGCGCCCAGACAAGGGGCTAGCGCGCCCTCTGCTGGACACCGTGCAGAACGCGGGACCGGCTTCGGAGGGTCCCGGGCCCAAGGCCCTGCAGCCTGGGAGGCCTCAGGCAGGGCTGGGTCAGAGGTTGGGCTCAGCCTGGTCACACCGGAGGTCCGACCGGCCCCGCAGAGCTGGGCCCTGAGCGTCCCACGCTCCCTGCCTCACGCAGGTGAGGGCCTGATCTGTGTGTGCTGTCTAGGAGCCGGGGCCTGGCGCGCCAGAGGCACAGGGGGCACAGAGCACCCCCCAAGATGGAGCCCGGGTGGCGTCCTCCTGGGCCCCCAAGACGAGGAGCTCACAGCACCAGGTACCTGGCAGCCGGGGGAGGGAGGAGCAGACTGGGTTGGTGTCCGCCCCTGCTGGGTGTCTGTTTCATTTCCATTGTGAATACGAAAAAGAAAAGTTCACGGTGTTACAGAAGAGGTGAGGCCCAGCACTCTGGGAGGCTGAGGCAGGAGGATTGCAAGTTGGAGCCCAGCCTGGACAACTTAGCAACTTATCAAAACCCTGCCTCAAAACAGAAAATGAAAAGAACTGAGGATATAGCTCAGTGTGAAGGTCGTGGGTTCAGTCCCCAGTACCAGAAAATAAACAGGACTGTCAAAACAGCAAGGGGCAGGCCAGGGATGTAGCTCAGTGGTGCCGCTACCTGCCTCGAAAGCTCAAGGTCCTAAGTTCAATCCCAGGTACAAAAAAAAAAAAGAGGAAGGGGAGAGCCTTAAGCATTCGCTGGGTGGCTGGGTGGCATGCCGGCCCCGCTGAGCGGATGAGGCACCGCCATGTGTGTGGCCAGGCAGCCTGGCCTTCCTGCGGCCGTGTTGGTTTCTGGCTGTAAAGTTTACTTGCTGGCAGTCTGGGTGCAGGCGCTTGGGGAGAGCCTGTGAAGACACTCAAGGCCTCCTCTTGTCCCCAGAGCTGTTCCTGGGAGACCAGCGGCTCAGCTACGGGCAGCCCCTCACGCTGACCTTCCGGGTGCCCCCTGGAGGCTCCCTGCCGTCCACACGGCTGAAGCTGGAAGGAGCAGGCCTGGCGCTGACTCTGAGGCCCTCCAGCCAGTCGGGGCCCCAGGATGCCGGGCAGCCGGGGCAGATGCAGCTGCACTTCCTGTAAGTGCCCTCCCGTGTCCCGAGAGGCAGGTGTGGAGCCTGGGCACGCTGAGAGTTCCCTGTGTCGTGCGCAGGTCCCCAGATGGCCCACGCCAGGCTCCCACATTCTCCTCTCTCCCCGGCAGCCTGCAAGAGACTTCTGAGGACACAGCGTCCCCGCTGCCCGCCTTCCACTTCCAGCGGATCCTGGCCAACCTGACCTCTCTCAGCATCTGGGCCAGTGGCCAAGGCGCAGGCCCTTCCGGTCAGTGGTGACAGCATGTCCCTGAGGACAGTGGGCTGAAGTGTTGTGACTGTCCCCATTTAGCCAAGATGGGCTCCGCTTGGGTATTTGTTTTTGAGACAGACTCTCACTATGTAGTTCAAACTGACCTTGAACTCACAGAGATCCTCCTGCCTCAGCCTGCCAAGTGCCGGAATGACAGGCATGCACAACCATGCCCAGCTAGGTCTTATAACCCATGAAAGTAGCAGGCATGGTGGCTGAGGTCAGAGTGGGGACTTGGCCGGTGGTGGTGGGGCAGGAGTGTGGCCAGCAGAGCAGCTGGGTTCCTTGGGTGTGGTTCCCCACACTTGGACGCTGACCCTGCTCTGCCGGTTTCTGGGGAGCTCGGGTCCCCTGCTGGTCACTCGTGGTATTGCACCTAAGCCGTCCGAGGAGCGGGTGTTTTCTCTCTGCTTTCCAAAGAGGGGCCCCGCTGCAGCCCGCATCTGTCCTGGGCCGTCCCAGCTGACAGGGTGAACCTCTGCTTTGTTCCTGGTCACACCCTACTTACATGCCCTTGAGAAGCCACTGCCTGTAATATGCAGAGTACGGAAACGGAGGAAATGGTACGTTTTTCTTCATTCTCTGAACTGGGCGTGCTGGGACCCGCCTGTCACTCCAGCCGCTCGGGAGACCGAGGCAGGAAGGGTCCCGGATTGAAGTTCAGCCTGGGCGTCTTAGTGAGATTCTGTCCCGCAAGATGGAAAGGGCCGGGGGTGTAGGTCAGCGCTTCGGGGATTGAATCCGCAGCACCTCCAAAAGAGAAAAACAAGGTGAGGTCAGCAGTTGGGGTTCAGGCCTGCTCACGCTGGGACAGGCGAGTCCATTCGGGGTCCGGAGAAAGAGAAGAAGCCGTCTGTCCGTGGGGCCGGCGGCGCGGTGCGGCTGTGAGGGCTCGGGGCTGGAATTCAGCGGGGGTCACGGTGAGATCAAAATGCGTGGTGCATGTGTAGTTCCTTAAAAAGTCGGTACAGTGAGAGAAGATTGGCCCTGGCCCCCTTCACGATGACCCCTCCCACGCTGAACTCACTTACGCCCTGGTTCTTGCTGCTTTTCTTTGGTATCGGAATCGAACTCAGGACCTTGCCCTTGTGAGGCAGGTGACGGCACCGCTGAGCTAAATCCCCGGCCCGCTTGCTGCTTTCTAAAGCAGCTCTGAAAGTCCTCTTTCGTGAGCGTATTTACAAGGTGTAGTTAAAAAAAAAAAAAATAGGGTGAACGCCGCTGCTGAGTCTCACCCAACACAAAGGGCAGCTCCTAAAAACGTGACGCTGCATCCTCGTCCACCTTACTCACCGGATCTGGCGCTGTGGGACTCAAAATGACCACACCAGCGAGACATTTTGATTCAGTTCAGGACGTGGAGGCGGCTGCAGCAGTGCCATTAGACCCTCCGGAAAGAGCACGCCAGAGCGGCTGCGGGAAGTGGTGGGGCTGATGGGGTGAGGCGTGCTCAACGCCAAGGAAAGGTTTGGAGAGGGGCTCCTGGCACTGTCTTTTGCTGTGACAAATTTGAAAGTGTGACAGTCACCGTGTATTCGGATCACACCTCACCTGTGGTGCCGGCTGGGGACACTCACAAAAGACAAGGATGGTGGCCGGAGGAGAGCCAGGAGGGTGGCAGGGGGTGGTTCATCTCTGCTCATTGCGGTCCTTTTAAAAGATTTCCTTAGCCCCAGTGGTTGGGTTTCATGGCTTCATTGGAGGAAGGTGCATGGTGGGGTGGCCACTCCTTGATAATGCTGCAGATGTCCCACAGGACGCCGCTGACCCTAACCCTTCCAGTCCTTGGGTTTATCATGGCTAAGTCATCTGGCTGGCTCAGAGGGTCACAGAGGGATGTCTCCAGCCTCTGGGCATCCAGCAGGACGTGGGGAAGTTGGGGGACAGTTTCTGCTCACTGCCAGTCAGGGCGTCTCTAGCCCCCCATGTCCCTATCGTCATGACAACCAAAGGCCGTCCCCAGATTGCCGGGGTGATTCTCAGAGCCAGGGGCTTAGAGGACCAGCGGTCCGCGGGCCCCTCGGGTTCCAGCTCCCTCTTCCTCCCTCGGAGCTGAGGTCTCCCTGCATGGGGTCCCCATCCTTGACAGCCCCCCAGGTCCCCCGTGGCTCCCCGCTTCCCTCCTCTGCCCCAGAAGTCTCACTTCTGCTCTCCCAGCACCTCCTCCAGCCATTCCCTGGGTGCCCTGTCACAGACAGCACAGGGCGCCTTCTCCTGATGCCAGGTGCCCCTGTGCCAGGCGATCTTTAAACCCTTCCCCTAGAGCCCAACCCTGACCTCTCCCACGGATCCCACTTTGGGGGCACATCGCTCTTCCACCTTTCTGTGTGCACCTTCCCAGTACCGTGTCTTAGCACAGGCACTGAGCCGGGCGTGGTGGTGCACGCCTGTCATCCCAGCACTCAGGAGGCTGAGGCGGGAGGATCTCTGGAATTCGAGGCCAGCCTGGAGTACACAGCGAGACCCGGTCTACACTCTCCACCCCCCAAGAATTGTAGAAATCGGGTTGCACAGTGCACTCTGCTGAGGCTGCTTTTCTTCTGCTGACAGCGCCTTGGCGATCTCTCCTTCTGGAGTTGATAGTTACTGATTTTGATTTGGAGAGTATTTTTTTTTGTTTTGTTTTGTTTTGCAAAGTTTGGTCTGATCGGAGCCTCTACTCCTCAGCCCGCACTCCCTCCTTTGCATTTCTACATCCACACCTGGTTGGGTCCCCCCTGCCAAATCAGAGTTCTTTATTTTCAGAGTGAGCACACTGTTCACTTGAATAGAAAATGCTCACTTGCCTTGCAGATGAGAAATTACACTGTCATTTCTGTGTCACTTAGCTTCTTTTCCATCAAAATCCTCCCATTAAAAGAAACCTTTCAATTACTGACCTGTTATATTCACTAGTGTCCCTACCTTTTCTGCTACTTGAAACAATACACTCTAAACCTCATCCAGAAGCACCACCCAGCTCTAGGCAGGCCCTGTGAGATCCCCATGCCCTGATCCCCCCTCACACATATATATTTTTAGATGGGGTCTCACCATGTAGTCAGATCGGCCTTGAACTCACTATGTCGCCCAGGCTGGCCTCGAACTCATGGCGATCCTCCTGCCTCAGCCCCCCAAGTGCTGGGATTATCAGTGTGTGCTACCACACCTGGCTGTAATTGGTCTTTAAAATATTTCCCAATCTAGGGGTTGGGGATGGTTCTTTGTTACTTAAATCTGTGTACCTTTAATAACCCACAAGCGTGGGCATTTTCTTGTGAAACTGTCCCATCATCTCTTGCGGGTGCCAAGGACAGAACCTGGGGCCTCACACATGCTAAGCATGTGCTCTACACTGGTTGGGGTGTGATCAACTATATAGTGTGTGTTTAAGTTTTTTAAAATGTATTATAGTGGGCTGGGGATTTGGCTCAGTGGTTCTACTGCCTGCCTCGCAAGCGCGAGGTCCCAGGTTCGATCCCCGGTACAAAAAAAAAAAAGCAAAGTATTATAGTAAAGGACACAGTGCCAGGAACCTGCCTCACTTGGAGCACACTGGAGTCCTCATTCCTGAGGGTCTGTAGTTGTGCTGTGGGAGCTGCTTCCAAGTCCTGAATCTCGCTTTTGACCTTGGGGAGGAGCCAGAAGTCACGCGGCACCAGATCCGTGAACAAGGGGAGGAGGACGCAGCGCCCGCCGTGTCTTTAGGAGCTGCCTCTCCGTTGCAGCCGCCTTGCTTCCCATTGGTCACACCTGGTACAGACCCTCAGGAAAGAGGGCTCCAGAGCTGCTGCCGGAAGTGGCGAGGACGGTGGGAGCGGTGTGGTGAGGGGAGGGTTTTAAAGGGGGTCGAGGCAGTGTGTCTTTTGCTCTAATACATTTTTTAAAATTTAAACATTTGCTGTATTTTTTGTTAATCACACCTCATCTGCCTCCAGCCCCTCTTCTGTTTCTTGTTCTGAAAACGCGACTAAGTCGCAGCTGACTCGCAGCTCCCTCTGTAGTCAGACCCAACACCCTGCGGACGGGATGGGACGGGAAAGCTGGGGGCTGCGTGCAGCTCCCCTCACGCCTCCCTCCACAGGTCCGGCGCTCCTGAGTGAGGTGCGGCTCACGTCGGCTCGGGCCCAGCAGGGACTGTCCCCGCCAGCTACCTGGGTGGAGACTTGCTCGTGTCCCCAGGGCTATACGGGCCAGTTCTGCGAGTCCTGTGCTCCAGGATACAAGAGGGAGACGCCCCGAGGGGGTCCCTATGCCGCCTGTGTCCCCTGCACCTGTAACCAGCACGGCACGTGTGACCCCAACACAGGTGAATCCCTGGACCACACCCTCAGGCCTCCCGGGGTACGGCAGGATGGGTACTGAAGGGGCCCACGTGGGGCACTTGGCCATGCTCACGCCCCCTGCCCGGGCAGCTCCTAGCTTAGTAAAAGCCCCATGGGAAGCTACACGTCAGGTCCAGGGTGAGGGCTCCCACCAGCCACCCCGCAGGCCGTCTGTCCCCATGCCCACCCCCCTCTGGACTAGTCCCTCCTCTAGGAGCTCAGCAAAGACCTCAGGGGCCCTGCCTGGCATTAGTGTGGTGCAGAAGGGCAGAGCCTGCCAGGCTGGTGGTATGTGCCTGTAATCCAGCACTCAAAGGCTGGGGCAGGAGGATCACCACAAATTTGACACCAGCCTGGGACACACAGTGAGTTCAAGACCAGCCTGAACTACACAGCAAGACCCTGTCTCAAAAAGCAAGAAAGCAAAGGTATTAGCGTGATAGGTGGCCGTGGCAGGAGGGCATTCCCAGGCCACACGGGACGGCAGCTCTCAGTGTGGCCCAGAGCCACAGATGTGCCCGCCCACCCCGCAGTGGCTGTGGCCTTGGGAAAGTCGCTGCCCTCCCTTCCCTGAGCCGACCTGCTTCCTGTGCGGTGGGGACAGTGAGCTCACACACATTGCCCAGGCCCCGAAACAGACCCGGTGTACACTGCAGCTCGGTCCCACCAACTGGCCAAGCCTCGGGGAAGTGCAGGTGACCAGAGTCCTCACGCTTAGGACACTGGGAAATAGCGAATTGTGTCACCAGCCTGCTGCTCACACCAGCGCCTTCTGGGAACCGCACGGCGACCCCTGCACCATTGCTGTCCCATCTCACAGGGGAGGGACCTGAGGTACCAGGCGGCCCCAGGGCCAGTAAGTGACAGAGTTGCACCTCCCACCAGCCTGGCCACCCAAGGCAGCTGGTCACTTCCGGCTGCTGGTCTCCACCCATAGAGGAGCAGACAGGGAGACCTCGTCTGGGGCACATGGCCAGCAGGGGCTGGAGGGGCTGGACACAAGCCTTCCTCCACCCCCACCCATGAGCCTGGAGCAGGTGGCACTGGGCACCCAGGACACATGGTGTCCTCCCTTCCTGTGCCCATGGCAGGCATCACCAATCAAACCTGGATGAGGCCTCCTTATCCTCCCATGCTGTGCCCCGGGCAGCCACTGTCGACAGAGCTTCTCGTGGGATCAGACCAGTGTGTCATCCCCTGGCCCTGCCATGACTTCCGGCAGAGCATGGCAAGTCCTTGTCTGACAGCTCAGGCTGGAGCCAGGAGCCTAGAGGTCCTGCCCTGCCATCTGTCTCAGCCCTGGCTGGGCACTGGGTGCTGCTGCGTCTCCTGGATGCAGTGCTCTCTGCTGACCCTTTTGCAGCCACACTGCTGGTCCAGGCCCTGCCAGGGGCCTCCCTTCTGGGCACCCAGGCTCTCAGTGCACACCAGGTGCTGCTGGGCTGCAGAGGGGTTCACAGCATCCCCCATTTTCAGACACCAGATGGCAGGGACAGGCCCTGGGTAACCACGGACCCCACATAGGATGTGCTCTGCAAGGTCATGCCAAGGTCATGCCTGCTCTGTGCTTCCTTTGGGATGAGTCCCTGTGTCTTGTGGTCCCTTGACATTCAGAGCACACAGGGAGCAAGGGTGGGGGGTAGCCACCTATACTACCAGCTGCTCCGGAGGCTGAGGCAGGAGGATCGCAATTTCCAGGCCAACCTGGGCAATTTAGATCCTGCCTCAAAATAGAAAGTAAAAAGGACTGGGCACGTAGATCAGAGGTAGTGCACCCCTGGGTAATCATCCCTGGTGCCACAGATGAAAAACATGCTGGCTTGGCCCCAGTGGTTCGAGGTAGCTCTGGAATGAGCCACTGGTGATGAGAGACACTGAACACCCAGGAGGGTGCAGGCCCAGGGAGCTGCCTGAGCCCCCAAAACCCTTGATTCCCATTTTGCGTTTGAGGACCCCAAGGTGAGAGTGCTGGACAGTTCTCCTGGGCCGGCCCAGGCACCAGCGGTGGCCGTGAACCCAGGGTGTCCGGTCCCCTCCCCTCCTGCCCCGGATGAGTGTCTTCGTGGGGTGCCCGCCCTTTCGGGGTGTCCTGGGCTGGTGCGGTGCCAGCGGGTGCTTCTCCTGCCTCTCAGGGACCTGCCTCTGTGGCCACCACACCGAGGGCCCGTCCTGTGAGCGCTGCCTGCCGGGTTTCTATGGCAACCCCTTCACGGGCCAGGCCGACCCCTGCAAGCCCTGTCCGTGCCCCGGCCAGTCAGCCTGCGCCGTGGTCCCGGAGAGCGGCGACGTGGTGTGCACTCACTGCCCGGCGGGCCGGAGAGGTGAGTGGCTTGTGCCGCGGGTCCTAGTTTGTGGGGAGACTGAGGCCAGTGCCCTGATTCTGCCTGTGCTCGGGGGGTGGGGGGCTCCCACTCTTGGGGTGCGGCCAGAGGGGAAAAAGCCCAGCTGAGGAGCGGCAGGGATGACCTCCAGGGACAGAGTGGGTGAGGGTTGCTGTCACAACCTGAGCACATCCTGGTGAGCTCTGAAAATGCCACATTGGTTCCTGGTCCCATGGAGCCGGATTTAAGGGATTCAGATGGAGCCCAGGTGTCTGTAGTCCCGACCGGTTCCCTGGGAGGCTGTGACACACAGCAGAGGTAGAAAAGCTCTGACCACAGTTTTTGGCTTTTAGCTGAGTGTGGTGCCACACGCCTGCAATTCCAGTACTTAGGAGGCTGAGGCAGGGGGATCCCTGCAAGTTGGATGCCAGCCTGGGCTACACAGTGAGTTCAAGGCCGGCCTGGAGTCCACAGAGAGACCCTGGCTCAAAGCATCAGAAACATCTTCCAGCATTAAAAAAAAAAATGCCATCAGAGAACACGAGAGGCAGAAATTTCCAGGGACCACCCCCCCAGTTCCCGTCCCTGCTGCAGGGCTCCGGCTGTCCACAATTTCTGATCTTTTTTTTATAGCTTTTGGGATATTCTGATGCCCAGCAATTCACCCACTTACAGCGTGTGCAGTTAAGTGGCTTTTGTGTGTTGCATTATTAATTTCTCATCATGGTAAAATATGTGACATAAATTCCACGGCTTTTCAGCATCGTATCAGTGCACGATTCCACGGCGCTAAGGACACACAGCACGCATTCCGTCACTGGCGCCCAGAGTCTCTCCCTCACCCCCAGTGAGACTTTGTACCCGCATTCCTGCTCCCCACCCTGCCCCGCTGCTGGGGGATTGGACCCAGCACCCTCCCGGCACTCCGCACCCAGCACTTGTTAGCTTTTATTTGGAGACAGGGTCTTGCTGAGTCCCTCAGTTGCCCCCTCTACCTCAGCCTCCTGAAGGACTGAGGTTATGGGCCTGCGCCACTGCACCCAGCCGGCAGCTTATTTCTTAAAGTACGAAATTTGTAGAGCTGGGGATTTAGCTCGGTGGCAAGTACAAGGTCCCGAGTTTGATCCCTGGTATTAAAACAGAAAAAGAAAAAAGAAATCAGCATGCGCTCACTGCAGTGAAAGCAGAGTAACAACGTAGAGAGGAAACTGACCAGGCAGGAGCCTACCGACTTCCACTCCACTCTCCCGGCCGTGGCTGCAGTTTGGGGCTCTGGATCCCCCAAACACCTGTTTCTGGTGGCTGCCCGCGGAGAGGGGTGTGTTTACAGAGGAGGATGGCGCTGTGGCGTGTGCAGCCGCGCCCTTTCACGCCCTCCGTGTCCTCCGTGGGCACCACCTTGCCAGTGCCTCCTCACTCCCCAGCTCCTCTGTGGCTCGTGCTGCCCCAGGCCAGAAGAAGTGGCCGCCCAGGGCAGGGTGGGAAGGTGACACCGGCCATCCAGAGAACACGGAGGTGAAGGGGCCGGGAAGGGGGTGACAGACGACGGTGGCCACAGAGAAGCTGACGGTGACATCGCGATCAAGATGAGGGTGACAGAGGTTAAGGCAGTGACCACGGTGGTGATGGCACAGCCTCTCGTCCCAGCCCTCGGGAGGCTGAGGCAGGAGGATGGCTGTGAGTTTGAGGCCAGTCTGAGTTACATAGCAAGAACCTGTCTAAAAAGAGGAGTAGAAAAGAAACCGGGACCCTGTGTGGTCTCCGCAGTCCTGGGAGGCACCGCCGTACTTGTCCTGCTTTTCAGAGGGGCCGGAGTTCAGGGAGATGCTACTCCTGCTGCGGCCACACAGCCAGTGAGCAGCGGGCAGGGACGTGGCCCGGCCGCCTTTGCCCTGGGAGGCTGGGCAGCCACACTGCCCTCGTGGGCACTGCTGGCCAGCACGCTCACCCCACTCCCCCACACAGGGCGGCGCTGCGAGAGCTGTGACGATGGCTTCTTTGGGGACCCAATGGGGCTCTCCGCAGCCCCCCAGCCCTGCCGCCCGTGCCAGTGCAGCGGGAACATGGACCCAAACGCCCTGGGCAACTGCGACCCCCTGTCCGGCCGCTGCCTGCGCTGCCTGCACCACACAGCCGGGGAGCACTGCGGGCGGTGCAGCCAGGGCTTCTACGGCAGCGCCCTGGCCCCGCGGCCGGCCGACAAGTGCAGGCGTGAGTAGCGGCCACCCTGCCCCTTGTCCTCTGTCGGCTTCAAATCCTCCCCATCCAGCTGTGAGGCTGGGCAACCTTAGACCAGTTCCTCCCCTCTCTGTTCCCGCTCTCCACAGAAGCAGGACTTAATTGCCCTTCTCCAAGGTTCCTTTTAGCCTTGATGCCTTAGAAACTTAGAAGCAGGGAGTTCAGGGAGCTGCTAAGTTGCCCAGGCTGGGTTCAAACTTGACATCCTCCTGCCTCAGCCTCCCAGAGTGCTGGGATTCCAGGCCTGTGCCACCTCAGCTGTTCCCCCAGTGGCACAGCAAATGGCTGAGACTTGAGCCCTTTTCCCAGAGGGACTCCATAAACATCACCTCTGGGGCTCCCCCAGCTCCTCGGTCTCTCCAGGACCCCTGGGTTGCAGACCCCCTGCGTTGTTCCCCAGCAACCTGTCCTGCTCCCTCTGCAGCCTGCAGCTGCAGCCCAGAGGGCTCAGTGGCTGAGCAGATGCCCTGCGACCCAGTGACCGGCCAGTGTGCCTGCCTACCCCATGTGACCGGCAGGGACTGCAGCCTCTGTATCCCTGGCTTCTATGACCTCCAGCCGGGCAGGGGCTGCCGCAGGTGGGCACTGGGGCAGAGGGAGACGCACCTGTCCCCAGCCTCTGTTCCAGGGAGTGTCCCAGGAGGCCTCAGCCCTGGCTCCTTGCCCATTGCAGCTGTGCGTGCCACCCGCTGGGCTCCCAGGAGAGGCTGTGCCACCCTGAGACCGGGCAGTGCCCCTGTCGCCCCGGCGTCACAGGCCTGGCCTGTGACAGATGTCAGCCGGGTTTCTTTGGCTTCTCCATCAAGGGCTGCCGGGGTATGGAGGCCGGGGACTGCGGGGGACAAGGGCGGGGTCCAGGACTCCCATGATGTGGCAGTGGAGGAGGAGCGGCAGATGCAGGGGCAGCGGGGAGCACAGGAGGGCGGGCAGAGGGGCGGCGTCCCATGCCACTGTTGATCCCCGGGTGCGGCCACCGTGCTGCCTCTGTGAGCCTCAGTTTCCCCAGCCCTTGGGTTGGGCTGCGCTGGCAGTTCCTGCACCTGGCTGGTCCTCGGGCCGTGGGGACAGTGACACAGTCTGGCTTTGGAGTGGAATCTCTAGGGTGGGCGTTGGGGGCACAGGGTGGCACCGCATGTCCATTGTCACTGTCCCCAGCCTGCAGGTGCTCCCCGCTGGGCGCCACCTCGGCCCAGTGCCACGAGAACAGCACGTGCGTGTGCCGGCCTGGCTTCGTGGGATACAAGTGTGACCGCTGCCAGGACAACTTCTTCCCCACAGCGGGCGGCGCTCACTGCCAGGAGTGCCCGCCCTGCTACGGCCTGGTGAAGGGGAAGGTGAGCCCGGCCTCAGCCGTGGGCTGCACTGCGCTCTTGCCCTGGGGGGCCAGCTCTGTGCACTGGAACTGCCTGCCCCTCCGTGCATGACTCCAGGCCTTGCCAAACCCGCCCCCCGCCACCTCCCCTGAGCACACCACGCCTCCTGACCCATGCCAGCCCGGATTGGCCCTCACCCTGTTCCGGGCAGACAGGAAAGAGGTGGCTGTTGCCACTTCCCTCTCTGAGCACTGGGACCGAGCCCTTGCACCTTCTCAGGTTCAGCAGGGGAGGGACAATAGGTACCCCTGACCTGGGAGGTGATGCCCGTTCGGGGCCCAAGTACAATTTCTGTTTTCTGAGGCAGGGTCTCACTATGCAGCCCAGGCTAGCTGTGTACTCACAGCGATTCTCCTGCCTCAGCCTCCCAAGTGCTGGGATGACAGGCATGCGCCACCACACCCAGCCCCAAGTAAAATTTTGAGAGGGGAGGGTGGTACAGAGCCAGGGGTTGGAGTGCTGGGCCGAACCCACTTTAGTCCCCTCCTCAAGCCTCATTCTTGGTAACCTCGTCGCCCTCCCACTCCGAACCTGCAGCCCCTTGCTGGCCACGGTGGGGCTCCTGGGTGTGTGGTGCTGTAGACAGAGGGTGGCGTGTGTCCCACAGCCACTGGTCCCTGTGTAGGGCAGCATGCTTATGCATATGGTGTGGTAAATTCACACCCAAGCAGCCTTTTCCGTTTTGCTTCCAAGTGAATTCAGGTCAGATTCTGCCATCAGAGCTGGGTGTGGTAGGAGGTGCCTACATTCTCATCATATGGGAGGCTGAGACAGGGGGATCTCCATGAATTCTAGGCCATCCTGGGCTGCAGAGGAAGGCCTTTTCTCAAACAAAACAAAGCCCCAACCCCTAAAAAACCGAAACTAGGACCTTAGCATTGAGGCCTGATGTAGGACTTGGAGAAGGGAACCCACCTGAAGTGCTGGCCCAGCGGAGGCCAGGGGAGACGCCAGGTGGGACTTCTAGGCCACCAGCCTTACACACACTTCCTTCCCTGTCCCCCGCAGGTGGCCAAGCTGCAGGCCAGGCTGACCTTGATGGAAGGGTGGCTGCAGGGGTCCGACTGTAGCACCCCCTGGGGGCCACTAGACGTTCTGCTGGGAGAAGCCCCCCGGGGGGGTGGCTACCAGGGCCGCCTGCTGTCAGGTACAGAGCAGGGTGGGGCCGCCCAGAGCCCGGGACACAGCTTCCGCCCGCTGCCATGGGTAGGGCTGCTTCCCACGAGCCCCTCCTCCAGCTCCCTCTGCCCTGTCCCCAGCCCCGTCCAGACTAAGCCCAGTGCCACCCCCTGGGTTCTTCCCTGGCCTCCGCCCAGTGCAGGGCGGGTGCTGTCCAGGTGCTGAACAGGCACAGCCCTGCGGCCTCCATGTCGGCCCCTCTGCTACTGCGGGGTCCCCCGCACCTTGCCTAGCACCTAGAAACTAATGAGTAGCTAAGAAAAGAGAAGACGCGGCGCCAAAGCCAGGGGGATGTGGCTCTGGGACAGAAACGGAGAGCTCTCTGAAAGCAAAGGGACAGCTTTGTGGACTGTGTTTAGAAGCACCTGTGGCCACTGCAGGCCAGCTGAGCATCTGGTAGCGGGTGTCTTAACCTCCCTGCTTGTCTCTGGGCCATGACACCCGAAGGAAGGGAGGCTTATTCTGGCTCATGTTTCAGTCCACGGTTGGCTGCTCCCAGGCAGGAAGCGTGGCACCGGGCCCTGGCCGAGGAGAGGCGCTCACAGCATGGGGGACCTGAAGTAGTGAGAGGGGAGGCTCAGGGAGGGAGATAGAACCTCCCAGGCCACACCCTAACGACCAGGCCACGCCCCCAACTGCAGGCCCCACCCTGACATCCCCCCAGGGACCGCCTCTTCCAACCAGGCCCCGCCCCTAACAGCAAGTCAGCTCTAAGCCCTGGGGATCCAGCCACCTTCCAAAGTCCCTGCCTGTCGGCGATCAGGCTCTCGGGGCATCTAGGCATAAACCTTAACCCCCGGGCTGCCCAAAGAGGGGCGACCTTAGACACCCACACACGTGAGCCAGGTGGGGAACTACGGAGCTGACCTGGGCGGGGTCCCTGCCACCCTGGCTCCCAGACTTCCTCCTTGTGGCTCCGGGAGGCCTGGGGCCCTCACAGGCCGCGTGCGTGGCCGACTTGCAGTGCGTGGCCGACTTGCAGTGCGCGACCCGGGG